GCAAAAAACTGGATAACGATGATAATATATAGGGACATGGACAATTTAATACGATATTTATAAGTAATTTTATCATAATTAATGTTACATGTCGGTACGTACCTGTTGCTTTTGGATATCAGGCAACAACAACACGAGTTCTTGGAACACGGACTCAAAGCTGTACGGGGCCAGTGCTTCGACACAGTACGAGTAGAAATCAAACGCGGTGATGACGTGTTTGCGGAACAGCGTGGACATCTCTTTGAACTTTTCGAAAGTGTCGAAACGTTCATCGTGGACAGGTATGAGCGAGGCCATCAGGTTGTTGATAAGCACTTTGTTCCGGACGGAAGAGTCGGCCGGATGCAAGTACTCGAATGGTTTACCACCGTCGCCACTGCTGTCAGTCAACGACAGACCGGGCGGTGCTTTGATCCGATGATGGTTTTGTGCTGCGTGGGATGGTCCACGGTTACCAGATAGCCCGGGGGGTGCTTTGATCTGTTGTTGCTGCTGTTGGTAAGCGTTCTCGAAGCCCGGTGGTATTTTCGGCGTCGACGTTTTGATACAATTGTTCTGAAGCTGTTGTTGGTGATTATTTTCTTGTTGTTGAGGTCCGCCGGTTGAGGTAGGTTGTTGTTCTCCTCGATTTTCGTTTTTTTTCCTTTTTTTTTTTTCTTTTGGGTTGTTGGCGTCTGACACGGATTCTTCATCAGGTTGCGCCGATGGTCGACCGACCGCAGCAGACTCTTTCTTCTTGGATTGCTCTCTTTTCGGWACTTCTGTCGGGGCTGCGGCGACGGACTTTATCACTTCAGTTTTGCTAGTGACTGCCTTATTTGTTGAACTAGTCGTGGCTGTCTTGCATGACACTTCGCCGTTGCACATTTGCACCGCGTCGACGGTTTTTGTATTGGACTTATTGTTGTGGTTTTCCTTATTGCTGCCGTTGGTGTCCACGGTTTGGATGTTTTTCTTCCCGTTTTGTGCAGTACCGTTACCACTGCCATTGACGTTGTTTTCTGCTGGCACAACTTTCTTCGAGTTTTCTGATTTCTTCTTGTTGCCACCCAACTTGGCCAGGTTGCTCTTGGACGGTTCATATTTTTTGTTTAAATTTGGAAAGTCCGACGGGCCTGGAACCTTTGGAGCCTCAGCTATTTTCTTCTTAATGGCAGCTGGTTCTTTTTTAACTTTTTTTTTGTCACTCTCGTTTCCCGTCTTTGCTTTAGACACCCAACTGCCACCGCTCGAACCGCTGGCCGTCGTCATCTCCTTGTTGGCAGTCAATCTGGGATGTTGCAGGTTTTGTTGCTGCTGCTGTGACTGGTGGTTTTGGTTGCTGTCCAGCGACGGAAAGTCTCTGGCCTGATTGGGCAACCGTGGACCTGAAGGCGTCTTGGCGTCTTTGTTTCGGTCTGGTTTAGGAGGTTCCGCTGGCTTCTTTAGCAYCGCAGCCATTCGGATGTTGTTCATCGCTGGTTTTTGGGCCTTGGGCGCCACCGGTGGCTGCGGGTCTTGACCCAAGGCCGGAAACGATTGTAAATCTCGTGTGTTAACCGATTGGTTTTGTTTCCTGGTGCGGGCACATGGYAACACAGTCGTATGCTGACCATTCAGCGATGGGAAGTCTGCMGTGTTGCGTACGTTGATCGCGCGATCCGATGAGGTCGCCGATGACTCTTGATAGTTGTTGTTGTTATTGTTGTATCTGAATATAAATTATGACAATATTTGTTAAAAGTAAGTATTGYAAAATCTCATTATTTAATTATCTTATTTATTTAATAAAACTGATCCACTTAATTGACTACGCTAAAATGTCTAGTTTGAAACAAGTTTAGATTAAGTTATAATCACTATTTTTTTTTTAGAAAATTACAGCGTAGAACCTTAAACTGTTCACAATTAAATTAATTACTGTGTAAATATTATACTCACGAATAATCAGATGGCGAATGGCGGGGTCGAGGCGGTTGGTATTGGTTTGGCCTACCTGCTTCAACGGTCGGATTGTGTCGCGGTCGTAAGGTAAACTCAAGTTTTAAAGTACGCGCTTCCTTGTATCCATGTTTTMCCAAATCTCTGCTGTGGGTTTGAGCTTTATGAGCTATTATGTAAAAACAAATGAATATATGAGTGTGATAATAATATTCTATTAGAACAATTGCTATAGGAAAAAATTATATTGCTAATATACCTTGTAAATCGATTGCTGTACGAAAAACTGATGTATATTGTTCATTAATACAATTTCCCTCTTCACAAAGGTAGTGTTTGTCATAATAATGTTTTCTCAACCATTCATATGTCCTGAAAAACATAGAAACATTTCGATCAGAAAATATATTAAAATTTAAAATATATTTAATAGAYAATCTATTTGTATATTATATATTAATAATATGACAAATTAAATAAATTAATGTTTTAATATATAAGAATGAATACATACATGTAGTAGTCTTGAATACCATCAGCATCGCAAAAATGACAATAGAAATGCTCTTTTCTTAGATGTTTATAAAGCTCGTCTTTGTCTAAGTAACGTACTTTACAAAATTGACATTCAGGATGACCTCGGTGAGACGTATTATCGGGATCTCCACATTCTTCATGTCTAGTTAACTCATCATAGTTATACCAACGTCTCTGACTTGGAAATATCTATAATTATAAGAGTAAATACACAATTACAAAATAATTTTTTAAGTAGTTAAACATTATWAAAAAGAGGAAACTAAGTATAAAACAGTTGGAGTCAAGCGTTACTTTATAATAATTGAGTCATTGTAATGGATGTGTTAAATTTTAATTCAATGGTAACTCATCAATACGAAAAAACGATTCTGGATGGTGACGGTCTGTTATTTATTTATTTTTTTAATATACGGACGTAAATCCTATTACAATTTTAAATATGTGTACAAAAATTATAAATAGTGTATAAAAAATAACAGAACCAAAAAATGCAATATTATACACAAACTATTACTATTTAAATAAAAATTATAATGTATGTTATAGCCTTATAAGTATAGAATAAAGATAATTGACAAGTTATATAAAATCAAAGGGATACGTATTACCAGCTACCATCAGGAGATTTGCAGGGGAATTTAAAATATAATTTTTATTTGAAAATAGAGGGTACCTACTAAGTTTATATTATCATATTCCTATTATAAGTAATTAATATTATTATTTTACTATTATCAATATGGTTGCTTAAATAGTTTTTGTTTTTAAACAACAGATTTAATATAAYTATTATTWAGATTAGTAACACTGGCTTTTGTTGTCTTAGTCTTACAAATTACAAGTATGTATAACTTAGCAAATTTAAGCCTCAGTAGATTACATTTCGTTTCGTTAGTTAAACAATTAAAGTGAATCAACCTATCATGAAACTTGATGGTGAGGACATTACCTATATGTGTTTATAAGTTTGTTTTTAAGTGAGTTATGAGCATTTTTAGTTAAAGCTATATTATATACGCAAAACTTGCTAAAAAACTTAAYTATCTTAAAAATCCACATACAAAGACAGATAATGTTCTTACATCTAAGAGGTCAAAATTCACTGTAATTTTTAAAACTAAACATGATCTGCTGAGCGTAAGTTTGCAATGTTACACACCTCTAAGATAGAGACAACAAATGCCAGTGTTCCACCCGCTAATATTTATAATTATTAAAATAGTTTTATATTAATATTATATACTAGGCGCCGGCAACCCACGGCCCACGGAACTTTTTGCTGCGGCCCTCCAAATATATTTCATGATGTTCAATGGACGGATTTGTATTCTTTTTATCGAAAATAAAGATAAACAGTTATGTTTAATTAGAGCCAAAAACCATTTTATGTGTAAAAGTGTATAATGTTAAACGTCACTAAGAAATAGAGCATAAATTATGACAGATTAAAATAAATAATTTTAAAAGTTCACACTAGTAACTTAATATGTATATATTAAAATGTATTCAAGAATTAATTAATAATTATTTTTAARCTTTTAAATTTTTTCTACTGTTTTTAATTAAAAATTAGTTAATAAGGACAACCRCAATGTTAAACACATAATATGATTGTTGCTATTTGTAAATATATTAGTATTATTTGTTAAAATTATATTTTTATTTTATATGCGGCCCCCGTAAAAAATTGAAACAAATTATGGCACAAATTATGGCCCGTGTAGGTGAAAAGGTTGCCTACCCCTGTCATATACCATTATTACTAACTAGTAACTTTACAGTCAATATCAGTTGACTATACAACGGTTTGAATGAGAAATAACTTACATTTAATCTTAATATTTTTAAAATGACACTGTGTAGGTAGGTATATAAAATATAATAATATGTGTAGCGCTTTTTAAGTCTCYATGAATAAAATTTTTGAATTATGACAAAACAACTAAAATTTTCACTCCCTCCCCAAAGTATCAATTTTGTTACATTTTATTATTTTAGCATAATTACTGCTCAAAAGGTGATGAGTGATGACAAACAGAAGAAAAAACATACACCATTGTAAAATCAACTCATAGTCTATATTGATAGAATCTAGTTCCAAAAATATGAGCTAACAATATTAATTTAATTAATTAATTTTTAATTTAAATCACCTTTAAATTGTTCACACATAGACGACAAGCATAAAGACGATGGTTTCGTTCCATGTGAGTTACTAATTGTTCAAATGCTGTAAACTCTGGATGATCATAACATTTTTTACAACTGCAACGCAGAAGTTGGTCAAAGGCGTTTTCCACTGAAAGATCACCAAACGCAATGCCATACTTTTTGTTATAACGGGGATATGGACGATCRTCCAAATTTTTAAACAAATTCAACTCATCTTTGGTAAAAATAACCTGAAACCAAAATAAAAATAAATAAATAGAAGTTAAATGTATTAAACTTGGATACAATTTAATTATAAAGTGATGTGTTCAAAGCTTTTTATATTACAATGTATACCAACAATTATTGAATAAAACATTATTTTATCAATTATTTGTAAGATTAAATAATTATTGAAGATTTCAAGCTGGATTGAAAATKTAAAAAGTTATTGAATTTAGAAAATAAAACAAGGTATATAATAAGTATATTATATAAAATTGTATAAAACATAAATGGGCTATTTTATACTCTACATACACCACTGTTCAGAAATTTAAATTTTATGACTGCCATACACCTCAGTCATGTTAAATTTCAACAACARTTCAACAAAACCTAAATTCATAGTCATTGATTACTGATTAAATAACAATATGTACTAAACACTTTTATTAAATTCTATATTTAGAGCCAAAGAAGCAAAGAGTAACAATTCACCAACATATTTTTTTAATGGATTTCTGATAACCAATTTATTAATAAGTAAKTTGCAAACAAAAAATGTTTGTATCTAATTTTTTTTTTAAATAATAGAATAAAGTTTTATAAGAGTATGACTATGCTATAACATGAGTAATACGTATACACTAAACATTGGCACACCAGCCAACAGAAATCATGAAAAGAATAAGCCAACTGGTTGTCAAATTTAAATTAATATTATTTAAAAATATGTATAGTTTTATATAGGGAATTTTAATCACAAAAATAATAAAGATAAAATATTATAAAAGGCCAAAAAATTAAGCGTTAATTATAGATTGTCAATTTATGCTGTAATGGTGTTAACTAAAGAGGATGTCACATTCACATGTGTTGTTTGACTGGTCCCTGCTTTATAAACAATGTGGCAAATAAATGCATTTTTATTAGTAGCTTTAATTAGAAAGAAAACCAAACCAGTTTTTAAGGTATTTTAATATTTAAATACCTAGGTTATAAGTATATGACGATACAAGGACGGGTGGCAGTATAGTGTTGAACAGTTCCCACCCGTTCCTGGTTTTTGAACAGGAAAAAAAAAGGGCTATAAGTATATACAATTATAAAATATTGCACTTAAAAAATAAGTTATCGCAAAAACCTAATTTAAAACAATTACAATTTTTTAACTTTTAAGTTTGAAAATAAACCAATTTACTCTAATATTTAAACTAACCACACAMAATTGATTCTGCTTAACATRCTATTTGTTAATATTTGGAAAACAGAGACAACATACTTTTTAATATACAGTAATAGTTAGATACAGCAAATAAATTATCAAACATTGTTAATCTTACTCATGTATTTAAATAATTTCTCTAAAATATTTCACTTTTAAAAGTATTACACAGCATTTAATTTATCTAGTAAATCACTGATTATTGTCAGATAGATAGAATTGAAACTCAACATGCCTATTTAATTTTGATTTAAACTTTCCGACCAATGTTAGAAATTTTATCAGACATCTACTTATTGTAGTGTTAAAAAAAATTAAGGGTATAATTTTGTATTAAAAACCTTGGTTAGAATTCGCCTGCATATCGGACACTCCTTCTGATCGCAGAGTACTCGCATAGTAGTTGAACACTCATAGCATACAGGATGATCACAAGTACCAATTGAATAAATTGATTGAATTTTAAAACATATCACACAACTAGGTCCTGATGGTTTGGACGAYGATGGACGTGATTTGTAAGACGATGGTCTTCGGTCCATTTCTACAAATCAAAAACAATAATCTTATATACTACTATTTTTGCAAGCAAGATGACCTCGACCTTAAAACTTGTGACATTACGATGAGAACTGTAAACTTACCGTGTTTGGCACTAACCACGGGAACAAAAATTTATGTATCAACGAAATATATGTTGCGCATGTACCTACGAATACAAAAACGTGTGCATAATAATTATGTAAACATGTTTAGATGTGAATGGAGCGAAAGTAAACTGTCGAGAATAATGTTATCGTTTGATGGCAATTTTTAGACAATTTTGAAGTGATTAGAATGAAGAGATTTAAAAGAGAATTGATAGTTAAAAACACAAAATTGATATTTTCAAAATTAAAAAAAAATATATATTATGCAAAAAAAAATATAATAATAATATAATAATCACACGATCACATGTGGCGGTGGAGGACGGTGCCCCTCATAGATATCAGCTATAGTGCCCCGTCGGTCGGTTGTGATTCACTACATGACCGTTGTTACCACTAAAACCGAGAGAATGGTAACGCGATAAAAAGAAAAAGAAAACATCAACAACAACAAAAATAATTACAACGACGGAGACGGTATCACTAATATTTTCATCACGATCCACCACCGTGCTTTTCCCGTAGATAATAACGACCGGACCTAACCATAGTCTGTGGTTTAACTGWGGCAGGGAGGGGATGATTTATAGATAACGTGACGACGATTGTGTCTGATAATAAACACGAGGTCGGGCGTAGTGCAAGACGTATTTCAACTACCCGCGAGTCCGTTGTTGTGCRTTGCATGGTTTTGGTTTTATTCGAATTTTTCGCATAGACCAACGCCCACGATACGGTTAAAACTCGTAACAGAATCCCAGTTAGTCACGGACAACAAAACTTCACCGTGCATCAATTACTTGCCATAAAACCCTGTACCGTCGAGTACGTGAGCACGCGTGTTTGCCGCCGCTGAATGTCATTTGTGGACGTCTGCATGAATGGAAGAAACGTCGTCCAAATTGTCGTCCGGCAGCGCCGACGGCGCCGAGTCCGCCGACTGGCAGTTGCCGCTGTGCTTCACGAAGAAACGTCACACAGAGGAGATCAAGTCCGTGGACGCTGTGGTAAACTCATGGCGACTCAAAGAACGGGTGAGCTTGTAATTTCGTTTAGAAGAAATATCGTCATGAATTTTCACTAACTTGGTGTTTTTTTATGGATTCAGATGAAGACAGTGAGTGTTGCTCTTGTCATGTGTCTGAACGTAGGTGTAGATCCACCAGACGTTTTAAAAGTGCAGCCTTGTGCACGTCTAGAGTGTTGGATAGGTATTGATTTAATTACAACTTTAATAATAATAACAGCAACAAAAATTATAAAATACTATCAATTAATATAATGTTTTGGTCTTTTGAACGTGTTTGTACTGAATTAGATCCGTTAATGATGGTCTCTCAGAAAGCACTGGAAGTAATTGGAATCAATTTGCAAAAACAGTACGAACGATGGCAGCCAAGAGCTCGTTACAAACAATCATTAGATCCAACAATAGAGGAAGTAAAAAAGTTGTGCGTTTCCTTGAGACGAAATGCAAAAGAAGAAAGAGTACTTTTCCATTATAATGGACATGGTGTACCAAAACCTACAGTGAATGGAGAAATTTGGGTGTTTAACAGGGTTAGTTAATTTTGTTTTCAATTTTATTTACAAACATTTATTTTTATTWTTTTGTTTTTAATTCATTACAATTTTGTTAGACATATACCCAATACATTCCATTGTCCATATATGATCTTCAATCTTGGATGGGATCACCATCAATTTATGTCTATGATTGTTCAAATGCAGGAATGATTATAAAATTATTTAGCCAATTTGCCGAACAGCATGAAAAAGAAGATTTGGTATTTATTATTTTATTTWGTTGTATTTAGATTATTWTTTTTCTAAACATCATTAGTTTTGATTAAACTTTGAAATTAAGATAATATGATAAATACTTATTACTCAATATGTAACATTGAWCATCTATATAGGAAAAAAAAATAAATTGGCAATTAAATTTGTAAAACATTAWATAATTGATAGTTTGACAAAGAAATCTGACTAGATAGATGCTTCACTAATGCATTTCCTTTTTCAAATTAGTTATGCATTATTATTTATAGTTGTTATAATAAATTTAGACTAGTATAAAATTAAAAAAATTATCATGGCACCTGTTAACATTTATGTAGCATTATATAATTATATAATATTTATTACTAAGATAAAAGCCTATTTACGCTGATTTCATTAATATCTCAACTATTACTCTAATTGTAGGCACACATTTTTCATTCAATTATTGAAATACATAAAAAATAAATTGATTAAATTCCATAAAACGATACTAAAAATATCTAATGTTTACTATTTATTCATCTATTAGGTAACCAGGGTAATTTATCTACTTGGTTAATTTAAAATGTGTCATATTTATGATAATATTATTTTATAAACAGTTTTTTAATTCATTTTATAATATGATAATGAATACTTAACACACATCTGTGTCTATTTAATATTTGTTACTTTAATTTTTAGCATAATTCTACCGAAAGCCCATTGTTTATAAATGCTGAAGGATCTTACAAAAATTGCATTCAACTGGGTGCATGTCAAATAGATCAAACACTTCCAATGCATCCAGACTTGCCTGCAGATTTGTTTACTTCCTGYTTGACTACACCAATTAAAATGGCTGCTCGGTGGTAAGTTTTATCTATTAAACATTAATTAATGTTACTTATATTCATTGTTAGTATTAAAATAAAACATAACTATCTATAATCCATTTTATTAATAAAAATCAACTAATTAATTTATCATTTATAATCAGTGGTGGTTAATGTAAATAATTTACATTTATTTAATGAAACCAGTTTTATAATTTTTTATAATTTTACATTCAAATTATAATTATATTAATGCGTGACCTATAGTCTAAAATGGTGATCTAAATATTGTGACTTATGGTGGTGGCTCAATATTACTATTCTACGACTCAATATTAATTAGGAAATAATCTTGTTAACATTCAAAATTAAAGAAAGAATTTCATACGTCATCAGAGTTTAAAGTTCAAATGTTCAGTAAAAATATAATCAGATAAACATACATGTTAGAAATTAATTTTATTTCTTTAATATAAAATCAATCAAATAACATGCGTTGTTATATCTTGTTATAGCAATTTGAAGATAATCTCAGTAATGCAGAAATTTATTTTTATTWATTCCTTCTATGTCATTAGTAAATAATTTAAATGTTTTCTTTATTCACTTTAACTTGAATCGAGTTTGTTGTGTATTTTGATATGGAATATAAAGAGTTATGCATAATTATATTTTTTATCTATGTCCAATTGCGGTATTAATTATTTTAACATCTTTAATTTTAATTTTATAGAGATCAAATTTTTTTTTTTTCTCAGTGTCGCATATTTTGCATATATTGCTTATCTTAGTTATGAAAATGTACAGAACACATATTTACTAGTTATATTTCTTCTTTCGTTTATATTTGAAGTGATAAAGTTTTCTGATTAGTTGTAGAGACAAGATAATCTTTATTTTTAAAATATGTATTACATTTTAACTAAACTTTATGTATAACATAGATAATTAGGTATTTATTTTAATTTGTTGAAATATTATATTATTTTTAAAATAATCTGGGCCCCGTGACAATTGAATATGTATACTAAATCAAATGWATTTTTAAAGATTTAATAGTAAATATTTTTCCAGGTTTGTTATGCAAAATATGTCTAAACATTGTTCAAAATTATTTTTAGAACTTGTTGATAAGTGAGTTTTGTATTCAAAATTATTGTTAACTTATTTATTCTTAACCTAAAACTTTGTTTTCATTAGAATTCCTGGTACATTAAATGATCGACGAACAATGTTAGGAGAATTAAACTGGGTATTTACTGCTATTACCGATACAATAGCTTGGAACATACTACCTCGAGGTATGATAAGAATAAAATTATGAACCTCAATTTATAATAAACAAAATATTTTAATATTTTAATTTTTAATTTTTAATTTTTATTATTTAAGATACCTTTCAAACGTTATTTCGGCAAGACTTGTTGGTTGCAAGTCTACTAAGAAACTTTTTGTTAGCTGAGCGTATCATGAGAACATATGACTGTGAACCAGTTTCTTCACCTAAATTACCAGCAATGCACAATCATCCTATGTGGCAGGTTTGTAGAAGATTTAAATAAAACAGATTTATTAATGATTGATTTGGTACTTAGCATACTTGTTGTAATTTATTTGTATAAATTGCTTATTTTTAAATATTTTGTTTACAGTCATGGGATCATATTTTAGACTTGTGTTTGTCTCAATTACCACGTGTTCAAGAACACGGTGATGGTTTCTTTGTACGCACAACATTTTTTGAGGAACAATTGACAGCATTCGAAATTTGGCTTGATCATACAGCTTGTTTACCAACACAACAACGTAGTGCACCTGAACAGCTCCCTATTGTACTCCAAGTAATGATGACAACAATACACAAATATCTGATGTTATATACAATTGTTAATATTTAACTATATGGTGTTGTACAGGTTCTATTAAGTCAAGCACATCGACTTCGAGCATTAGACTTGCTGGGTAGATTTTTAGATTTAGGGCCGTGGGCTGTAAATTTAACTTTATCTGTAGGAATATTTCCTTACATATTAAAATTACTGCAGAGTTTTGCAGTTGAACTTCGACCAATGTTAGCTTTTATTTGGGCTAAAATTATGGCTGTTGATCATGTAAGTTTTCAAAATTAATTATCATTAACAAGTTAATAAAACATTGATTTAATTCAAAATTCTATCTATTTTCAGACTTGTCAAACTGACATTGTCAGGGAAAATGGTTTTAAGTATTTTTTTCAACTGGTTGAAGATATACGTTTGCCTGTAAGTATGAAAATTGCATTGATATGCATTTGTTCCATTCAAAAATTGTTATTGGTTAACTTTAATTTAATTTAAATTGTTTTGTATTCACTTAATTCTATCTATATCTTAATTTTTTTCATTTCCTATTATTGTTATACTGGTATTATTAATGTTTGAAGTAATTATTACTTACCATTAGGAATGTGAAAAATATCTATTTAATTATTAACATATTTATATTTTCTTCTCCTATAATTATGTCAGATATAACAATATCATATTTATATTAAAATTGGTACTTGTTTTTTATCATCCCACCTCTGAGCTGTATAGTATGTATCACTGCACCAGGCAAAAGTAGCAGGTTAATCTTGATGATATAAAGAACATGAATCTTAAGATGTTCTTAAATATAWWTCTTAAGCAGGGTTAACTACGCTGTGTTGTATAGTGTTCTATACTCCAGTTCACGAGAGATCAGTACCGCTATTTGACAAAACTCGYCCGATTCTGTATATCCCCTGTGTAGCGCRCCATGATTATGGTACATGGTGGGGGAAATTCCGTCGCTAACAGTTATTCTGCGTGCGCATGACGGAACTGATCTCTAGTGGGCCGGAGTATATATATTTAATATGCAGGTAAAGATAACTAAATATTGGTAATATGTTACTAATAAGATGAATKAAGTTTTGTTAACAATAAACATGATATGGGAGAAACCCAAATTTATTTAGTTAGCTTATTTTCTTAGCAGTTACTAATCAAATATTTTTTAGAGCTGTTGTTTATTTATTAATTTGTTTATTTATATTTATGGTTTTTAGGAAGAACAAAGAATGTTGGGAACTGTAGTACTCTCACGRCTAATGCAAAACTACAAGAATGGTCAACAACTTGGACTTAAGAACAATTTAGTCTGCATATGTCTTGAACAATTAGCCAATGCTAGTGCTCCATATAAACAATGGTTGACCTTGTGCCTTGCACAGCTGTGGTCTGATTATGATAAAGCCCGTTGGGTTGGTGTACGAGATATAGCTCATGAAAAACTTTACACTTTACTAGAAGATAAAGTACCCGAAGTAAGTTTAAAAAAAAGATATGAGAAAACAATTAACATTATATAATTGATTCACACATCTGCATTTGTTTTATCTGTCTAATTGACGATATACCAAAATGTATGTTCAGCAATTCAGATTTTGTCTTTTCAGCTTATATATTAAGAGTGAATAAACATAAAAATTAAACATTCTCTTATTGATATTTTAATATTTAAGAGAGTTATGCATATGTAAAATATTAATATTAAAAAATTTACATAATTCTTTCAATATTTAATATTGATAGACCTAAAGTAATCATTAAATTGTTATTTTTAGGTTCGGGCCGCAGCAGTGTTTGCTCTTGGTACATATGTGAGCTGTGATAAGGATCGTACAAACTATGCTATAAAAGTCGATCTAAATATTGCTTTGACTTTATTAAATACAGTCGCAAAAGATATGAGTCCTATGGTCAGGGAGGTAATAATTAAAAACAATTGGATTTTTTTAATTAGTTTTTATCAAGGCTGGGCAAGTTAATGWTTTTTTTTAACTCAGTTAAGTTAAGTTAAATTAAAATCTAAATCAAGTTAATAGTTAAAAGTTAATTCAAAATGTTCTATCAAATGAATTAAGTTARGAGTTAACCAAAATTTAATATTAACTTTTTAACTCAAGTTAAGTTAAAAAAAGTTTCTTGTTTTCTTATAGGTAAAATCGAGGGTAAAATTAAAATAATCGGTACCTAAAATTATTCATGTTATTAGACCAAAGAACTATTACTATTTTATGTGTGCAAAAGCTAACAGTACACATTTTGTTAGCATRACTTATAACCTTATAAAATGTGTACTTATYAGCAATTTGTATTCCTACAATAGTTCACAAAATTAAATTAACTTAACTTGTTTAAATGTAAAATTAACTCAAGTTAATTAAAAGATAATTCAAAAGCTCCTAAAATTATTAATTAAGTTAATAAACATAAAAAAAAACTTATTTAGTTAAAAAGTTAAATTAACTTAACTTTAACTTATTAACGSGTTAATGTCCAGCCTTGGTTTTTATTGATGTAATTTTAACACTATATTTTTCATTTAGGAAGTTATAATTGCTCTCCAATGGACTGTTATCACATTTGAAAGATACTTTTTAGAAATAGCAATGCAGGAACAAACAGAAAAATCATATGGATCTCTTTATAAAAGTATGTTCAATAAATAATTGGAAGTTTATTGGTAGATATATAAACTAGTAACTACTATTATAATTATAAATCTTGTTACAGGTCCAAATGGAAACTCTAAAACAGCTAGTTTGTCGAGAATTGTATCCAAAGATAAGCTCTCGATGCAGCCTACTTGTCCAATAGTCACTGTTGTATCACCTCAAATATCGCCTGGACCTAGCATTTCAGATGAAACGCAAGAGGATACAAAATCTGATCATTTAAGGCGAACAAATTCTTCCTCGTCAATAGTTACTTTGGGTATGTGTATTTTTAATTTTTACATTATCCAGACCTCACTTTATAAATATTTTTGTCACTTAGATGCTTATCAAACAACATCAGCCTATAACAATAATCACTTTAAATTATGGAAGGGTTTGACAGCTTTAGAGCATGATATATTTCCAGATGTTTCAGCTACTGCACAAAAATTAACTAAATACATTAGACAGAAGGTAAGTACTCAATATGTGTATGCAACATTTTTTTTAATAATAATTGTTWACTGTTGATATTTATTTTGATTAGCTTAAAAACAAACCCGATAGTCGTGCATCACATTCATTACCTGCATCTCCATCTTCTAGAAGTTATCTCAGGTATTAAATTGATGAATTTTAAAATTTGTTTTGTTAATTATTTATTTGCTTTCAATATTTGTAAATTGTCTTTGTGATGTATTTTAGTCAAGGAGATTCTCCTCCACTGTCTGTACATGAAATTCGTACTCGACAAAGAGCACCTAGTACTACGTCAAGATCCAATTCTAGAACAAAAAATATTGTTCCCAATACTGTATGTAACACTATTATGTACACAAATTGTTTTAGAAGAATAACTATTAATACATCCGTCGTGCGATTAGATTGTAGAAGAAACTACTGTGCTTTCATCATCATCTTCACCACCAAACATAGAAAGTGATGGTGAAAAGGATACTACAAATGTAACTAAAAGTTTATTGAAATCTCAATTTTTCGAATGGGTTTCTAAAAATTTTGCTCATCCATTAAGTGGTATGAATGATGGAGGTGACTTTGAGAGTGCAATATATTATGAACGTGACTGGAGGTGACCAATATTTGATTAAATATTATTTTAATATCTATTTATGTAGTTATTAGATAAGAATATAAAATATTGTATTGGTTACAATTTATCTAATAGGTATACCCGAAATATGATGCTTCGTAAAGAAGCCCAAGAAGAACAAAACAAAGTAAATAATTTAAATTGTAAGATAGAACATCAAATATTCTCATCAAAATGTAAACAATCACCTAATTCACTGGTGTTTTATCCATATGATCCACATGTCATTGTAGCTACTAAAGATTATTTAACGTAAGTATTAAATCAATAAATTTGATTATTTCTATAGGAATAATATAGTTACAAAAATTATTTTTAATATTTTTTGTTATAATTAGTTATTAACGTGTTTGTTCAAATTATAGAGTATGGGATTATCATAGTAGTTATAAGTTGTGTCAATGGAAACCAGATGTCAGAAGTCACAATCTTGATTTGTCATATAGATTAACTCCGCATTTATCAGCTGTAGAACTGATTAACAGCCACGATGTTGCTTTAGTGTTAGCCGGATATAATGACGGAAATATTCAAGTATGGTCTCAATGCATTGACGGTCCACCTAAATTGGTTTCTGGTTGGCATGCATTACCTATTTGCAAGAGTCCGAGTTTTGAGAGTTCTTCGAGTTAGTAAACTTAATCATCAGATATTATATTGATGTACCATTATGTATTGTATATTGTTTTAATTTTTTACCTTACAAWTTTAGTGGCTTTGCAATGGGATCAAAGATCGTGCCATTTAATTTGTGGAGGTGATTCAAGAGTTATCAAAATCTGGGATATTGAGACTGAAACTAAACTGACTGCTTTATCCACAGGAGTTAATGCTTCTGTGACGACTATGTCAATGCAATCTAAAGGTAATTATGAGTTTAACTGTCACTTACCAARTAGCTATCAATCAATATCTAAACACACACAGTTTATTTTTATAAAATTACAATCTCTTTATTTAATCCAAATCTATTATATATTATGATTAGGAATGGAGTGATATTTGGTCATAACTCATAAGTCAAAAATATACTTATACATTTTATAGCAGACACTTAAGATTTTAAATTTTACATTTGGGATTTTTGTTTTGCTTTGGTAGACTGGAAAAGTAAGGAGAAAAAACAATTTATACATTTTTTAATTTGCTTCCCTGGCGGCCACCTGTTCCTAAT